TTTTGGACTTACTTAAGGAGCTCCCTGCCACGTTGCATGTATTAATTTTTTCATTATTTTATAAATAAATTATTTTTTTTTTCAAACACTCTTACCAACTAGAATCATTTAAAAGCTTTTCTCCTTAACATGGTTTTTAGTATTTTATTGGTTAGCTGTAGTCAAGTTTTTATTGTTTTTGTTATCATAAAGATCCTTTCGAAAAAAATTTAAAACGTAGTCAAAATCTTTTTTTTTTTGAAAATTCTAAAACGAGACAATTTGTTACGTAGGCTATAAATAAATGTGGCTGATCACCACGTATTTATGTACAATTATAATAATTTCATTTCAATAAATGAAGCTAGGTTTTATGAGGCATTTTTAGATTTATCAGTATTTGCCATCCAATTCGAGAACTTTATGTTTTTTGAGCACTTTAAACTACACTTAAGCAACATAATTCAAAAAGCTATTAAGATCATGATCCAGTTTGAAAGGTGTTTTTCTCTAAGTTATAGTTATAGTATTTAAATTTTTTAAGATATAACAGTTTAAATTAGTAAATTGATTTTTTTAGCATTATAAAAGATAGACTGTTTGATGTTTCCTCCATAGCCTACAATTTTTTTAAGTTTCTTTGATTATCGAAAATAGTTAGCTTTAAATATTTCATATTTTCAGTTTTTGCAGATTAATTAAAAAATTTTGGCAAAATTTTAGCTTAGATGTCCGGACATGTGCTTTTTATACTTTAGTTCACGTGCAAGAGTAGCATTGGATCTTTTGGAAAAAAAAATTATGCATTTTTTCTGTAAGTTACAATGTTGTTAACAGTAGAAAATTTTTATATAAAATATACAATTGTAACGTTCTTTTCTAGGCTGGCTGATTTCAAATTTCAACCATTCTACAAAAAGCAAAATTAAGAAGTAATTTACGAAACATTTGTTTCGCTTATGAAGCGTTGCTGATTTTCTTGCAATCGAAAAAAAAGTTTTTTTTTCAAACAGGTTTTCTGTTAAAATTTTGGCTATGGTAGGTTCTGAAAGTTCAATAGTTCTGAAAAGTTCAAGATCTGGATTGATTGTCTATAATGCTGAAAGCTTAACGCAATGTAATTAGGAGTTGCGTATTAATCAGCAATGTGGTTCCAAATTGAATGGGCAATTGAATTGTTCATGTTAATTTCACGAACGATTCATGTTTGAGCATTTGAATTATGATATTGGCAGTGGCAAATGTAAAATTATTATAATTGTGTTAACCAAAAACTTTTCAAGACCAGTTAAAAAGCTGTTGAAACATCCAAAACCCTGATTTTTTGACTGATTTCTTACTAGTCTCGAATGTTGTTGGTTGAAAAAATTAATTTAACTTTAAAATTCAGACTGCCACTATCAGGTATTAAGTGATATATTTTTAAACTGTATAAAATTTTATATGAACTGATTTCAAATTGGAACGTTTTTGAGTGCCGGGTGACACGCAAGGCATAAATAATTTGTGCAAAAACTTATTATATAGATTAAATATTCCAGGAAGACATAAATCAGTCCAGTACACGGCTAAACTTTTAATTTTCACATCCGCAAAATTGTACTAAAAAATGATTATAGGCAAATATTTTTTTTAAATTCGAACTTAGAGAGTCAAGTTTCTTGTTAAATTAATTTTTTGAAAAGTACTATTTCCATCAACGAAAATAATCTGCATAAATAACCACCCCAATTAAACATTTGTTACTCTTGAAGAATTAAAATGTTCCGATTACAGATATAATTTTGGCTATTTTTTGAGTTGACGGAGGGATGTGAAATAAAATTTAAGGAATAAACGAATGCTTTAATTTAAATACTCAAATTTCAGAAAATACAAATTTGTTTGACGATAAAATTATACAGTGCTGATTAAAATTATCCGTACAAAACGAACAAAACTTGAATTTTCAAACGCGTTGTTTTTTCAATTTGGGTTAAGATTAGACAAAAACTGAGAAAAACAAAAGTTGCGTAGAATTTCATAAGAATTATTATGGTGCATCAGACTTTTTTCTTAGAAATTCTTAACCAAAATTTTACCCCAAAATTGGTCATTTTGTTTTTTTTTCAATTAATCAAGAATTACGCTGAAACTATTTTGTTAATTGATAAAAAATATATAACACAAGAAACGCCCTACACAGCCCATGAAAATTCTAGAATAATTAAATTTACAAAAGTTTGAGTAAACTCTTTAAAGTTAGTTTTTAACAAAGTTTTTGGGTTTTATATAGTGAAAATACCGTTTCTTGGCTATCAAGCAAAAATATTTTCTCTTATACAGCTTTTTGGAGATTTAACTGCTTGGTTGGGCTGTGTGAGAGACTTCTTGTAACATATTTTTTTTATCAATTAACAAAGTAGTTTCAGCGTTATTTTTGATTATTTAAAAAAAAACTAAAATGACCAATTTTTGTGGTAAATTTTTGGTTGAGAGTTTCGAAGAAAAAATTGCACCGTATTAATGCTGATGAAACTCTAAGCAATTTTTGTTTTCTTCACGGTTTGTCTAATCTTAACCCAAATTTAGAAAAACAAGTTTTGTGTGTTTTGTGTGTTTTGTCCGGATAATCAAAATCAGCACTGCTTTCCTCGTCTAAAAACATCCTGGTTTGGCCAAACTTTTTGTATCGCCGGCAAAAATTTGAAAAAACAGGTAAAAAACAGGCTATTTGGGTCGGCAAGCGGTCGAATCTCTGAGTGAGGGGAGGGGGAGGGGGGAGGGCGAACTTTCCTCTCCTTAATCCGCCTTTCATTCAGGGTATCAATTTTTAGCAGTTAAAATGGAACAATTACGACTGAAATGGTTAATATAAAAGTTTTATGCTGACATAAGTATTTCTGCAAATTCTTGTAAAGAACAAAATTAGCTGTTAAACAAATATATATTCAAATTTATCATTACCAAAACTTCAAAAACTCATAAATCTAAATTAATTCCCACTCTTGAAACTCAGAACCACTTTATTTTGTCATGCCATTAAATCGTTCTGTTTCCGTTTTTATAGAAGCTGTTTCTTCGTCGTCAAATCTCTTTAGTTCTCGGATGTTTCTGTTTAGACAAGATGTTTTTTGAGATTCCGTTTCGCCGTCCGAGGGATTTTCCAGAAGTGGAGGTTGTGGATGATATCTTTCTTTCGGGTTCAAAAGGTTACCAATGTCGATGTTCTCCTTTGCTATTATTGCTAGTTGGAACAGGGTCGCTCCACTCCTCCCAGGGAATTGGTGGGTCCACCGTATGGTTTTGCCAAAATGAAGGTATACCTCTCACGTTGGATTCGTTACTGTTTGACTGCGCTATGATGAAATGTTTCTTTGTTACAGGTAATTCTACTCAATGTACAGATAAAATGTTGATTAAAAGTGAATTAATCTCAAAATTAAAACATTAAAAATTGAGAGAGCATTCTCTCCGACGGAGAGAATGAGCTTCTCAAGGTCATTGAATGAGTACCGGTTATAATAAATAACAATTAATTATAAAGGTATGGTTAAATTACTGCAATTCGCAACAGGTAGTGAAGAAAATTTCAATAAAAATCAGAAAAAATCATGCCTTGAAATAATGAAAACAAACAATTAAATCCGCTACTGCCTGCATTAAATTTTTAGCTACGCAATTTCAGAAGTTGACATTTTCTGTTAACCCAAAGCGCGCTTTAAAAGTTTCTCTTCAACTCGTAGACGGCGAATTTTTTTTCCTTTTGTGTAAATAAAGAAACCGAGGTAACCCAAATCATAGCTACAACAACACAAATTCTTTTGAAAATTTAGAAAAACCTGGAGTATCCAATTGCAATTGCAATATCCAATTGCTGGAACAATATTGTAGTAGGCTGTGACCATTATGGTTGTGAGGTGGTCCATTGAAGTATCGACCGCATGAGTTCTCCGATTGTCCGCATTTGGTCCCAGCTTTTTTCGGCCGACCGGGTCAATGCGTGAGTTGACTAGGGGGGTCAAAAAATGAGTCAACAGAGTAATACAAAATTTCCCAGTGTGCAAAACATATTTTTTTCAGTTTTCATTTTTGAAACAAAAAAGACGGGCAAAAGAAAACCATAAAAAATGAGATGTCTGCGGTAACTCTTTTGTCTGATCACAATTTTTTTACGAAACAAAAGTTTCATACACAGTTACTATCTAAATTCATGAAAAATTATCGCGGCAGATGGAAAAGTCGCAAGCAATTAAGCCGTCAATCTAAAACAGTGGGCTCATACTTTGACAAAAAAATCTTTCATCATTAACATAAAACAATCAGAAGAAAAAAATGAAAAAACAACCATTCGAGTTCTAATAAAGGCAAAAAATAGATTCGGTTCATCAGTTGACTATGATAAGCATAAGTTATAAATATCTTAGACTCAAGTTGGACAACTTTCAGAAAAGTCTACAACGACTAGCAAAGCTGACCATAGTCGACCAGAGTCGGCAGGGGATATCGTTCGACATACGAAGTTGACATCGGTCGATCAATGCGGAATATGCATAATTCACAACATCAAACAGGGCACGTCATCTTTGGTTCCAAATAATTTAACATATACTTTTTTTTAAAGTCTGAAGAGGGAATAAATGTCTGAACATGTTTCAAACCGCGCTTTCTGTCTGACACAAAAAAAATTATAGAACCTTTTTATGCAGCTGACAAACTTAAATTTGCAAGAAGGACTCCTGAGTCGAATAACCTATCTGCGGCTGGCACCTACGGAGCAAAACTCTCTAGGATGGGTTGGCGAACTCACAAGCATATGTATGCCGCAGGATGGCATGTGATTAAAACTGACCAAAAACTCACTTCAATGTATTCAAAACAATTTTTTGAAAGTCAAAAATAGTTAAGCATTAGACTTGGTTTAAAGCATTTTTGTGATATAATTTTTTGATAAAACATACCATTTGAAAGATAAGTTTTCCTCAGTTTTTGCGTGTGTTTGCGAACTTAAGGAATTTGGACCAGAACTCCTTTTTTCTGACCCCAGACTGAAACGGATTCTGATTGGTTGTTTCCAGCAGAAGTTTTAATTCTAATCTCTTTAATGTTATCCCCATGCTTGGTTACAGACTCATACACCTGGGGCATAGCGCGGAACATGTCACTCAAATGCACAGCAAATTTCGATGAAGGCTGCCGTATTGTCAGTGCTCGGCGATTAGGCACGGAGTTTTCGATTAGTTTGTTTATACTGGTCGGCTTGAAGTTTAATTTTTTCAGGCACATTCCCGTGAAAACATCTTCGAGGAAAATTGGCTTCACATATCTGTACTGCCTAAAATTGACATGAGCTTTTAATCAAAAATTGATCAACTCGTTAACATCAAATTACCGTGAAAATAGTATTTCAAGATTTCGAGTTGTGGACACTATGGAACAATTATTTTGGCATTGCGTGAGCACGGTTTTACATTGTGTTTGAACATGAGTTGATTTTCAAATCAAAAGTTTTGAACGTGACTTACCCGCGCAATTTGATTGCAATGTCCATAGTCATCATGTAAAGAGCCCCTACACAGAACGGCGGATATAGTTTATCCGGGTATTGGGCTTTGTCAATGTACCATTTACTCCCTTTGTTTCTATGCGGTCCATTTCCAAAGAAACATTTTCCAGCAAAAACCGGTTTTTGTTTGCGTTTAATATCCAAAACAAACTTAGAGATGAGGTCCATGTTCAAATACATGTCGTCGTCAGTTTTCATGACAAAATCAAAGTTTGAGCATTGGTTAACTGCAAAGTCGATTCCCATTTGTGATTTCAAGGTTAGGTTTCTGTATGTTTCAGTGACATCAGCTTGAATAACATCATATTCGTGCTGTTTTTGCTCCGGGTGAAATGCTAAATGGTTTGTACTTCTTCCCAGAACGAATAAAACTTTGTAGTAAACAGCTGAACTTCGTTGCGTAGACAAACTAGCCTCGGATGCCCAAGTGCCTCGGACTAGTTTTCGTCGATCTGAGTTTGCAGATTGCGATAAGACCAAAATTAATACTTTTGTGTAGTTGCTGTACTTTTGTGGAATTTGGTTGCAAGGAGTGCTAGTATCCTTTGTGATCCAAATATCTGGTCTTACTGGATCCCAAAGTCGATGGTAATCATAGAGCTAAAACAAAGATAACTATTTAACAATCGACAGCATAACCATTTAAAAGAAATCTTTTTTTAAATATTTTCAGTATTTAAGTACAAAAACTAATTTATAGATCTCACAAACTGCTCGAATATCAGTGAATGTTTCGACTGACCGCCAACAGATCTCAAACAGTGTTTCGTTGAAAAATATTTGAAATCAAAAAATTGTTGGCTGCTAATATCAAACATTAAATATTAATATTTGAGTTTTATGCAGAACTAATTTGATCAATTTAGTTTACCTCAATTTACTTTGGAACAAAAAAGAGTGCGCGGTCATTACCCGCACCGGAGTTCCCTGGATAATAATCAATCATAATGGAAAAATGTTGTCTAAAACGTTGTCATTATAATCAATTATTGTGGCAAATTTAGACCACGTAAGCGATTATGTGATCATTAAAATCGATTTTTTTTGAAAAAGTAAAATCCATTATAATCCATTTTATTTCGTTAATTAGGCTATTCTAATTTTAGTTATATCTATGCCTTGAAGAAAAAAGCAAGTTTAAAAAATTAAAATTACTAAGTTTTCCTAAAAACATGCAGTTAGAGCAAAGAATAATTTAAAACATAGAATCAGCATACATTTAAGACATATGAATGAAAAAAACATGTTTAATGTTTTCATCTTCATGTTCTCCCATTTTTTCATCTTCATATTCTCCCATACTTCTCCAGAACCAGTGACCTCATCGGGCATCGGGTAGGAGAACCAGTGATCTCAGCGGGCATCGGATAGGAGAACCAATGACCTCAGCGGGCATCGGGTAGGAGAACCAGTGACCTCAGCGGGCATCGGGAAGGAGAACCAGTGAGGGCAGTTCTGGTCCAATCTGCGAATGATAGAATCAATCGGGGAAAAAGGAAAAACAGACACACAGGGGCACACATACAAACACACATAAGGGCACACATACATACACACGTAGGTTTCCCCCAGTATAGTAGAATTCAAACCTTATGAATTTAACAAGTCTTCTTTGTTTGCGAAAACTATTTACCATAATGCTGTCAGCCCCGACCACAAAATTCAAGTAATAATTTCCGAGCTAAATAGAAGTGGTCAGTCATAATCAAGAATTAACGTTCCAGGGTCCTTCTAGAATATGTAAAAAGGTCGGTCCCCGGTTCCAGGGTAAAATAATATAAAATTACCTAGGATTATACATAATTTGTCATGTTTGAAGCTAACTCCCTTGTTTATAAGTCAATTTGAGGTCGCACAGTTTCAATTTTTTTTTTCGAAATTTTGGAAAAAAAACTTGTCAAAAAAACTTAAGAAAATAAATTGAAGAGAATTTAATTTATTCCAAATTAAGCGACTGACATTGGTAACAGTTTTTGTGAAAATTAAAAGAAAAAAAATTCGTAATTATAATCGATTAAAAATGGATTATTTTGCCTCAGAAACAAGTTTCATTTTCTTTCAAAAATATTCGTTTTTAATCGATTATAATTGATTATAATCGATTATTTTTGTAAGAAAACGAAACTTGTTTTTGAGGCAAAATGGGGAGTTTTTTGATTAGAAATATAGTTTCATTATAATCCATTTTTAATCGATTTTAATCGAATATTATCGAAGTTTCTTGAGACAGACCACGAAAAGTCAATATAATCGATTATTATCCATGGAACTCCGATGCGGGTAGCAACGCATAAAGGGTTTGGCGTATTGAAAAAATTATTTTAAGCGATAAGCCTCCACTTGCTTAGACTAGTCCAAGCACACCAGCTTGGTAATCCAAGTACTCCAGAATCAATCCACTCGCTGTCCAATTTCTTTCTAAAATAGGTCTGCGTGAAAACCAGCCTTTAGCAATGAATTCCTTATTTTTTTCGAAAGCCCGAAAAACATTTAAACAATTAGCAGTTTGAGCTGAAACAAGCAGTGTGGCCCAAAAATTGTTACTACCCGCAAATTATTTCCAATAACAGTTGTTGACAAGGAGTTCAGAGATAATATTTTAACATATTTTCTTTTTGAAACTACCTTTTTTTTCTTTCAGAAAAAACCACAATGTTAGTACGATCAAAAACAGATAAACAGGTACCTAAAAACGACCAGGCCGCTTTACAAAAACACTATTACGTCTCGCAAATTGTAAATTAGTTAAAAGAATGCCTAACAAATAAGCAAAGAAAATGAATTAAGATTTGATCGCTAATAATTTAATAAATTTTGAGATTTTCAAAAACTAATAATAATAAAACAAGCTTCAAAAAACCTTCTTCAAATAACCGCCTTGTTCTATGTCCAAAGTTTTCTAATCTCGCGATTTAGTTGAAATTTATAAAAACAGACAAATTTAGTTTTCAAAATATTACACTCAAAATTAGTGTAGTTTCTTGCACGAGAAATGTCAACCAATGCAACTGATATTTTCTCTATTTCAGTGGCTTCAGTATTTCAGGGCTTTTCATATTCTACACGAAAACCATACAGATTTTGTCATTTTGAAACAAACTTCTCAAAATCTGAAAAGCCTTTTGAAAGTTCAGTTTGGCTATTAGGCTGTCTGATCTGGTCCATTTTTTGTTTAAGTTAGTTGAAAGTGGAACCTGGCTGCCAAAAACAGCTCTTCAAACATCAAACACAATTAAAATCAAACTCATGAAAATTACATCAAGCAGGATGGAAATAGATTTTCATAAGAAATTAAAACACCCAATTTTTCAAGCAGAACAAAATTATTTTCAAACTCTCCTAAAACATTTGAACAAATTTTGTGCAAGTGTCTGCAAATTTTTTTTGAAATTTTAGTCAAACTTTAGGCCCCAAAATACAAAATTGAATCCCGAGTTGATTACCGTAGACCAGTAAACTTTTTCACAATTCAGATAAAGACTTTTTCAACACCTGCCCACACTTTTCATATATATTATACTTAGATCAATTGAAAAACAAAAACAAGCCATATTTTGAATACCGATTATAATTGGAGAAAAAAATTGGGATGTTTAACTGACTTACCACTAACTAAAAACTCCGTACATGAACTATTAGTTATTTGAGATATGTCATCTGCAACAGTCAACCAGCTAACTAGACGTAGAAGTCTCTACTGATTGTGTCCTCGAAACAAGAATGCTTCCCTGCTTCGGTGAGTGATCGTACAGAACGATAGCAACCGCAACTGCTACCAATGCAATATGTCGCTCGTGTCATTCTGTAGGTTTCTATCGATTGGTTGGGCCCATCTCTCCATAAAATTTGGTGGTAGTCTTCATCCTCCTTGTTGAGAGCCACCAGACATTTCGTAAATTTCGTAAACGTAGTAGATGATCAAACAAATCGTCTTGAAGCTTGGGGCCAAACATCAGTGCGTCATTCAGCGAAATTTGGGTACTATCATTTTGAATGCAATAGTGGAATGGATAAAAGCTTCTTTTCTCTGACATTGCGAGCTCATCTGGGAGTACAATTTCTAGTTGACCCTTGTATCGGAATTCTTGATAAAATCTTGTTACTGAGTGTACAAAGCAGCATCCTGCTTAACTTTGCGTTCCAGAATGAAGAACTGTTTGAGTGATGTGGCTTTGCACTCGCCGAGGGTTCTAACGTTTGTCTTAATATCGTCGCCTGGTAGATCAGATGTGACTTGGGGCGTGATGAAAAAGTCTGCTCGTATTGTTTCTTCTCCAGGCAATGAATAAGTTATCGAGGCAAGCTCTTTTTTTCCAATCAGGTGGAGTTCTAACTGGTTTAATTGTTTGACTGATTGATTTAGGAGGCAACCCATGTCGTCTTATGAAACTTTCACTGAGGAATTTCAACTGGATCCTTTATCTTTCAAGGCACGGCAACGGATTTCCTGTCTGTGATGGTTGAGCAACGGTATCCTACAAGTTTCAAGTATGGTTGCTCAGCACTGATTACAGTACACAGGTTGTTTCCAATCGTCGGAGAATCGTTAACAGTTTTTCGCTCAGTTGTGTTCGGATGTTCTAGCTGATTGTCTTTACGAAGAAGGGAATAGTGCTTTATTACACACTGCTTTCAATTGTGAGAGCTTGGGTAATTTGTTACCATATGCCCTGGGCGCAAACAATTGAAACACAGTCGTTGGGAAGTCATTTCGTCCTTTCGTGTTTGTGCTTTTAATTTTTTGGACTCATATATGCAGTTACAGTTTGAAGTGCAAAAAAAACTCGCATTGTTTGTCCACAGTTTTTACTCCATACGACTGTCTTCGATCAGTTTTTATTTCGGGCAACAGCTTGTGCTTCACTTCGAATCGTTGGTTTCTGGAAATTGATTGTTGGCTTCGCTACTTCTAGTTCCCTCGATCGTGCACGAATGAAATCGTCAAGCTCGTGAAATTGTCAAGCTGCCATTGCTTTTGGCTTTGCGATCTAGTTTCTGCTCAATGACAAGAACCAATATTGATTCCCAGTTTTGGGTGTTACAGCGTCGCATTTCAAGTGCAGCCGCTTTTTCGCAAAAAACAACTCCAAAAGCTTTCACAGCCCAGTCCCATCTTCAGTCGTCAAAACCGGGTGTTTGAACATAAATTTGAGATGCGTGCTCCAAATAATCCTTTTGTTGTCGGACCGGTCCATCAGAGTCCTCCTTGTCGTAGTTCACAACAATTTTTGCAATATTCCTGACCTGACAACGGGCTTCTCCTCCAAGTGAAGTCTTAAATTAGTTCAACTTTTCAGCTTGTAGGTTTGGATTTCCATATTTTCAGGTATCAAACTGGTCAATGAAGCTCATGCACTCCGTTTACTTCCCACTGAAAGAGGGAAGGTCAATTTTAGGCAACTTGATCTGACTTGATCTGAGTGAAACACTGTTTGAACTGAAGGAAAAGACTTTTGCCATTCCTCTGGAAGAACTCCGTTTGCTGAAAGAGTTCTCATACCTCTGTTATAAACTCATTTATATTTTTTCAGTTTCTGCCTCCAGACGTTCGTTTGGTGCAGCATCCTCTACCAATTGATTCTTTTCGCTGATCGATGCCA